ATATATTAAATCTACAACTACATACATATGCTCAAGTAGATACAAACAGCTAACAATTCTGGATAAAGTTTCTGCAAAATACTTCTTTGCTCTTGGCTATCTAATGGCGTCAGTGATGTTCTCCTCTCCCATTCCGTAACAACATCTTTCTGTCTAAATAAATAGCCAATTTCACTCAAAGGGAAATATTCTATACTGCAGTATGACTAGCGGGGAAAGGTATGTCATTTCGCAGTACAGCTTTTCAATGCCATCTTCTACAGGCAGTCGCCATTTAATTTCATGACGTACCAAAAATACAGCTGCTTTTACTCTACGTTTTATTAGAGGAATGGTGAGTGCGAGGCTGTTTTAAGACTTAACATTTTTGAAGTTACCTCTTGTACTGACCATCACAGTGGAAAGTAAATTATCAAGTCAATCAAGGTAGGGTGCAGCCATTAGGGGATTACAATACATAAAGATTCATCTCGCCTATTTCGGTATGTCCACACCAGAATGTGGCGTAGGGAGAGCGCGTAAGAAACCAGTTTGGAACTCCAGCTCCGGAGTTAATGCTGAGTCTGATTCCTGCGACAGGAAATCTTTGTTTTTACCACGAATTTCTTTGAGCCAGAAATTTACCACACGCTGCCTCAGACCGGGATTACTCGGCCAGGAGAGCGTCTGACTCCGGATTGAGAGATCACAAAGTCACTCGCGTTTCTTCTTTTCAAGGAAGATAAAAGACTATCACTTTGACAAACGGGTTGGAAGAAAACAGAAGAATCCACACTATGCCTATCACAGGCGGTTGATTTTGGCTTAAAAATAAGGTATTCCTGGCTTTTGAAGTGGATATGGAAATCAGCGCCCCCAGCAGTAACCGAATAAAAACAAGAGTGGTAGAACTGGCACCATCACGTAAGTTTAGGAAACGTCGACATTCCAACGGTTACAAACTTTCCGCCTTTACACCAGAATACCATGCTGCCCATATTATTCCAAAGTCAGCGGCCTAATACCCGTTTCTCGGCTGGCTCTACCGAAGCAACGTGAGGTAAGTTTCTTGATCAAGGGAATTCGCGATTAAGACAGATCTTTTCTCCTCTAGAATTTTAACCTTTATCCTATGCAGTTCGAAACTGACTTCTTAGCCACAGTACCACGTCGCCTCTTTTCTAAACTATTCAGTGAAATTCACCACCGTCGGTTCAATACCATACCGTGAATGGTTTCGATATCTGAATTTCACGTTCATAGTTCATAATCAGGCAAATCTTGGATTGTTCAAGTCCGAGCCTTGTGAAGTTTCAAGTATTGTGACTCTGCCATAATGTGGCAAATCTTGCACGCAAACTTCTGCTTTTTATACATATGAATCTCTGCAGTTACTTTCGTTCAAGACATAACTAAGATATTGCAAGGAAGTGACCTGCCACACTGCAACCATTCTTCTACGCGTAAGACTTATTGCCACCGTAATCATTTCAGTCTTCGCCATTTGAAATTTGAGATCAAAGATTTTGTTTCAGATATCAACTCTATGGACGAACTACTGCAACTCTGCTGGAGATGAAGCGTTAAAATCCTACGACTTGCGCATCTATCGGTGGCACTCGATTTTCCCCCAATTCTGAAACTCCGGTGTAGCTCTGTAATGTTGAGCGTCCTGCCATTGCTTACCTTATTTAACGTGTTCAATGAAACGGAAACTACCACAAATATAAACGTTCACTGGAACAGATAACGTTTCAAAACACTATTGCTTTGGCAGCTTAACTTATAAGAATAGTATTATCAACTCTGTTCTGATAGCATTCGAGAAGGAAAATGATAAGAAAGTAAGAATAGCATCATTCGACATACATGGATATAACGGATGTTACTTTGTACCATAGACACACGGATCAGAGGCCTCCAGAGATTTCGTCGGGACGAGTTTACGGGCGATTTTATGTTGACGATGCACTGCAACATGTCAGTTCATAAAAGCAAAAAATTTAAAAAGCAAACCAATACAACTATTGTCTGGGCTTTGAAAAGCGAAACTGGAAAGGTCTTTGATGCCTACTTCTGACTCTATAATTAACTTGTTTTAAATGATAGCTAAAAATAAATGGCAAAACAATACCTGAGCTGTGGTTAGAAGCACTCTTTAAGGAATCGCGAACAAGATCCGTTTCAGAGAAGGAAATTACTTCCTTGGTCAAATCGATGATGTCCTCTGAGATCGGCGAAGGTTGACGTTCATCGTAAGATTTCGACCGCAGTGGTTTTGGATGAAGAGAGCAATGATCCTTGACCGCCCCAGCTTCTGCACCTCCTTCGGTAGAAGTGGCTTCGGCGTTCAGCAGATTTGAAGATTCGAGTGCAGCCCTTTCCGCCAACGCTGTTGCCCGTAACTACAAAAATCATTTGCAACCTTTGTACCTTGATTAGCAACGATGTGGAAGGCAAATGTAGAAAAGAAAACAAGGGTGTATGTAACACAACCTAATATAACATGTTACAGCATAAAAGATTCATTGAAATAAAACGAAGTGAGTATATATCCGGAGATAATTTGTTATCGGAGCCTCTGTCTGCCTTACAGACCTTCTTATGGATGTTTCTCCTTATCACAAAGCATAGTAGCCAAAAGGCAATTTTTCAGTCCTGTCTTAAATAGTTCGATCATTGTCAAAGTGAAGAGGCTGATCTAACAAGCGCAAAGGTTTCATTTTTGACTGGGTGCCTTGTGGTCCAGCGTTTCTACAAACGATTCTGACCATAGACGTTAAAAGATGCTTCTCATTCTACGCGATTACCTCAACAAACAACGAGAATTATTCGACAGTAATAAACAGAAAAAAAACTCTTGCTGACGTACTGTGAAATCTTTCTTTGGTACATGATAATAAAAGTAAAGTGGGTATCGAATATATTACATCGATAATACAAACTCGAGAGGTCTCGGGTTCTAGATTCGGTTAGAATCACTTGCTTACTTTCCTCAGACGTTGATTAGTGAGAACCACTCCATTTGAAAGAAACAGGAGAAAGCACACTCTGCTTACCGCATCGCTGCTGTCAATTCTGCGCTTAAAATAAAGCACTCCTGACTGATGACATAGAAATCAAGATAAGAGCCCCAAGATTAACTTCATGAAGCGAAGGGCACCAGGAATGACCCTGTAATAAAATTTCTATTTTCCCTTTTATAAGTGAATATGTTAGCAAAAGCAACGTTACGAAACATGGTAGCTGTCTGTAAATCAGATAATAAAAATCTGGGCGAAAATAACTCACCTCATCGAGCAGTAAAGTTTCCAAATAATGTTGGAACAAAGATGCGATGCACTGATGCAGCAGAATATACTGGTCCTAGAACACGATTTTCAGTTGTAATGAACAGACAGAAATATGAATATGCATGCGCACATAAATCACAACATGCCGGTTTCAATTATGCATAGCTGATTCTTCATTATCCTCAAAAGAGTATTGTGGTAGTGATGTACAGTTAAAACCGTACTATAATTAGGCTTGTCAGGCAGGTAAATAAAGGCTGCAAAACAGAATGCATCGGGCAATTTAACTAATAGCATAGTTAGCAAGGCACAAGACGGCTAGTCATGATAACGGCCAGCGCAAATGCTACCTGAAACGTCAGCATTAAACTTACGTTACTTTGTGTTTACTTGGCTGTAGTTGTTATCATCGTCTTTAGCAGTCCAGCAAACCTGCAAGTTGCTTAACATTCGCGACGTCCACTCATCTTAGCGATTCAAATGCTTGGTGCTTAGACACTGAATCAGACTTTTCTTTAAATACGTTGTGTTCTTTGCTTATTTTTTTCAGTCTTAGAACATTTTCGATAATTCAGGTTTCCTCTGATTTTAACAACAAGTTTGAAACGGCTGCACTATGTACAGTGGAAACTTCATCTTCATCTTCATACAAAACTTAGCTTGAATGTTTCGAATAGTATTTGATTGCTTTCTTTCTGAGGAGCTGTAAGAGTCTTGACGGACTGTTGCACAACGCTTGTGGCATTTGAAACAACAAACTGTCAAACAAAAGAACAAACTGTCATATTAAATTAGCTCTGGTAAAATTATTCAATTAGCGAATAGTGTTGGTTGGTTCTGGCCGATTGTTAGCCACTACTATTACTGGTTTTGCATGCTCCAATGGCCGGACAGCTGTTTTCCACCTTTCATCTGCCATCGAGTTCAGCAAGTCCTTCTTTCACTGGTTGTAGCCATAAACTGCCGGCTTAACGTGGGCTTAAACGTCAGCTCTGACACTGCCCAATTCCCAGATCTTACCCTGCTCGCCGATTTTCTGGCGCCATTCAGTGATATCATCTGATGGATGTCTCAGTATGTGTTCCAGCAAAAACCGTCGTCGTTCTTCTCAATACAGTAGAGAGGTGGATGATATTGCAACAGAAACGGATTGTAGCGTTAGATATATGGTCAATAAATGGCATCTGAGAGGTGAAAAGCATCTTAACTCGAAGGATTCTAGTTTCCTCACGTGTTCAACTCTTAGGATCCACCTCTTTGAAGAACAATGTCAAAAAGTACAAGGACAAGGAGGTTAGCATAATTTGAATATCATGACAAGACAACGACATAAATAACGATACTGTGGCATGCGTCGCCATGAACGTAGAACATCTATTCAGAGTAGAACAAGCTTTGCTGATGAAAAATAGCGAAATACTGAAACATCAGGTTGACTTTTGTATATTTTGTGCTTAACGAAAAAATTTGCATCTTACTTTAAGTTTCGTTAAAACCATTATAAAGTTGTTACAGAAATTTATGATCAGCCAGGTACGTAAATTTATTTTATCGTTCAGAAACATAATTCCTTTGAGACGTTGATGAAAATTATGTAACGGTACCATACCTTAGTCTGCACCATGGCAGTACGTTGCTTTCGCAGTTCGTATACCAAATTCTGCACAGTGAAGTCTTCCGGCAAGCTCTAAAAACGACTAATTAACGATAGAGCTTGCGGCATAACTTTCTGCATTATTTGAGACAGGAGTAAACAGCAAAACAAAGTTAAAGAGCTCTCTTTCTGCTAGTATTATTAAGTAATTTTATGCCTCTAACATCACCGAATCATATTTCACATCTTTAATAAGTGCTTAAAATGTGATGAAGATATTGCCATCTAAATCCCTGGAAAAAAACGGAAGAGACCAACTGGAGGAAATCGATCAAAGACGATGCACAAGAATCGGGGGCTTAACGGTAAGACTGTATAGATTATACAAAACTTTTCAGTTAATTAACGGTCAGTTACCTAAAATAAATTTCTGATTTGTATATCTAAAAAGAACGTTAAACATTCAGTCAGTAGATCTGTTAATAGTCACCTCCTCCAACCCCAGTGATGTTAATGTGATGAATCGATAAACATGTCAAGGCAAAGGAAGAATAAGAGCTGTTTTGTACAGTGTAAATAATAAATTGTTGCAAATGCTAGAAACTGTTTTCCAAATGCTAAAAATTAATTTGTTATGTTTATACGATTGCCAGTAGTCACTGTAGTATACTGTAATCAAAACTGATTATTACCTTTTGGGCTAGCAAAGAACGAACGTAGTCCAGCGCACAAAAGGTCCCAGTACGACCGCAACCAGCGCTGAAAACAAAGCATGATGATCTGCATGAATCTATGATACAGACTGACATGAAACCCA